GTACGCCCCCGCTTCGAAAAAACAATGGCTCCGCCGCTGACCATGTGCATGGTGCACATGTGACATGAGAGATAATCGTGTCCTTATTTGAATGTTTTTATACAATTTTGGTAAGTTTTTCTCCGCAATATCAAGAAGGCCGTCTAGAAGTTGACATTGTGGTTGACATTGTAGAGAAAAACTTACCAAAATTGTGTAAATTCATTCAAATGAGGACAGAGATAATTTAGTTGCTAATATTTATGTGATTATTTGTTATGCCACATGTGCATCGTGCACATTGTAATATTGGAGGTGCTCTAATACATGAGATTACACGATATAGACTCAAATTCATACAAATTCGATATAGTTAAAAGATTACAGGACGTAGAATCAAATTCATACTATTCTCATATTTTTTACCCTGGGGGGCGTCGGGGGAGGGGGGGTTTGGGGAGTCTGGGGTAAACTGAAATCAATCTCATTCCATTGAGAATTGAAATCGGGACCTCTCATAAGGGAGAGTGATCGGCGACCAGCTGGACTGGACCGTTTCCTCATTTCATACTATTCTCATATAATTACAGGATGCACGAGGTAGAATCAAGTCATACTATTTTGATTTCTTTAATTTAAATTATATAAATCAGCAATACACAGAATTTATATCCCGTGCATCGCACGGGTAGTATACTAGTTAATTCCAGAATGCAAAAATGCGCAGTTATCTTCAAGAATTAATTTGAATGTGTTCTCGATTGAATGTTTAGCTGAAATTTGGTATGAGTAAACTAGACTTCGTGAATAACATGCTCAAAAAAATTCATCAAAAAATTTCATCGGGAACTGCCCCAAATTGTGACGGCCGGACAGAACCTCCTATAGAAGGACTTAATTGAGCTTTTTATGAAAGTTCGAGGACCTATTTGACAGTTTTCCCTATGTTTTATTATAATTATTTCTATAATAATAACTGTAATTGTAATTATAATATTTATTTCCATAATTATAATTATAATTATAATTATTATTACTTCGTGTAATAATAATAGTTATTATTATTATATAATAATAATAACAATAATAATTATTATTATAATAATAGAAATAATAATTATAATAAATAAATAATCAAAGTAATAATCATATTATTATTATTATCATTATTATTATAATAATAAAAGTGATAAATCATGTTTGAACTTTTCTGATCTGTATGTTTCTAATGTGATCTGAATCTTTCTGATCTAAATCTTTCTGATCTGATCTGAATGTTTCTGATCTGTTCTCATCTGATCTGATCTGAATTTTTCTGATCTGATCTGATCTGATTTGAATAGAATAAGCAATAAGTAATAAGTAATAAGAATAAGACGAAGAGAACAGCTATTCTTAGTGACGAAGATTAAACATGTGGTGTATAAGATACTTTTTAGTATGTGATGAGCTACAATTTGTGCTTCATTTTTATATTACTTTATTACAATTCTAAGCTTATTATTTGCCTAATTGAGAGGTTTGCGTTTTAATTATGTCTTGAAAGTGACTTTTACAGGTGAGGTTTTAATTTGAAAGATTTGAGGACTTTTGGGCTGATTATAAGATTTTTCTTTTCTAAGGGGCGGTTGAAAATTTTATGGTCTCATCTTTTGAACACAACAGCCCATTTGTGCAAAAGGGATTTGGAGCTGGATTTTTTTAAAGGAAGATAGACTCCTACGGAGCAAAAAAGAAGAATAGAGTACTACTCCTCTTAATTAGTCACGTACCAGCAACCCAAATCCAAGAAGAAAAGAAGGTAAAAAAAGGCCAAGAACAAAAAGGAAATTGGAAAGGGTTTAAGGGCCTGCTCTATTTTTCGGCCGGCTCCATCTATTACCGGAGGAGGTGAATCAGCCGGACTGGCAGCGGCGACGCAGAGGATTCTGGCGGCGAAGAGGAGAGCCGAGCCGGTCAGGAAGAGCAGACATCAAGGGGTCGATATACGATTCTCTAGGACTTCAAGCTGCGAAATTCTTGAGTAAGAAAGCATGTTTTGGATGTCCGAATGGTCTAGCCCATCCCATAATTTTGAATGCTTTGAACTATGAGTTAATGTTTGATAGAAATGGAAAACCAGCCCACCCTAAATACCTGCACGGATACTTCACTAGGGTGTCGTATCGGAAATGTTTCCGTATCTGATACTCTAGAATACACGTACCGTACGTTCTCGGGCCGTATCTGCAATTTTTAAAAGTTTTTCATTTTTTAGAATACACGTATCAATTTTTAAAAAAAATCAATCCAAAAAAAACTTAAAAATATTCCCAATTCTCCCATCATCCTATCCCTAATTCTAATTATCCCTGGAAATTAATAGCTCCAACGAAAATATGTATTAGAACTTTTAAAATATTGTTTTCTATCTTTATTATTCTAGAAACTTGAGTACTTGCACTTTTAATTTCAAAAGTGTAGTTTTTTGACTTATTTCTCATTTTAAATTAATGACTTATTGACTATATTTATATTTCGAGATGCACTGGTGTATATGAGATGAAATATGAATTTATTTCTAAGTATCTTGAAAATGTAAATGCTTCAATGCCATGAATGAGTAGCCGACAGAGGATAATATATGTGTATTTTTTTCAAAAAAAATTGTATTTTTAATATTTATAAATACACCCCTATAACTTTTAATATTTATAAATATGGCCCCGTATCCGTATCCTACTTTTTATGGTTTTGTCGTATCCCCATACCCGTTTCTGCGTTTCCATGTTTCCGCGTACCCGTATCGGTGCTACATAGCTTATCACCTTCAAAATTCAGCTCCCAAGTCTCTCATGACTCACTCTCCTCCCTTCCATTTTATTCCAGCTACCTACTGCTATTCTTCTATTTTATTTAAACTAGTAAATAAAAGCAACACACTACTATTCTTTCAATGCACGGCATGAGATTTTTTATTTCAAATTTATTTGTGTTAGGTAATTCACAACACACTATTAATTGACGACACTATCCAACTCCAAGTAATATATCTAATATAAAAGCAAAAGAAGTTTTATGAATAGGGTTCCCGCCTAGAAGTGTCAACATCAAGCTTTAGTCCTATTTTTTAGCAAATAAATGTAAAAATGATCAAATGTGTTGGTTGACATGGTAAAATGAAATGCGTTGAGTTCCGATTGGTAAAAAAATTACATTCTATTGGTAAGGAAAACTTTGGGTGAGATATGCAGGATATATGGGAAAGATTTGCACACTGTTCACAGAGAGAAGAAGGATTGGCTGGGATTCGATGAAAGGAAAATTATGTGTTCCTATTGCTCAAAAAAAGGTGGAAATAGTAACATTATTTTGGTGGGCATGTTCCTTCACTCCTATTGGTTGAAAAAATAGTTGGCACTGTGCATACACACCAAAATAGTTCGTATGACTCCCAGAGTGATTCCTATTGGCTATTTATTTTCATGGCTTTGATTCATTTGTTACTTGATTTGGTTGAACTACTTTTTTTCTAGTGGTTCAAATGGGTGGTGTGAATAGTCAAACATTAAATCCTATTGGTTGAAATGGGTGGCTGAAATAGTATACATTTTTTATTGTTTCTAAGTTCCTGACAAGACTTGGTTGAGAATAAACTGGCCAATGTATCTGGACTTAAAATTTCACCTATAAAAGCAGCCTCCGGGAACGACTCTTCCCACGCCAATACACATCGGGCTGAATTTCTAAACCAAGTTAATTTTCTTTCTAAAATGGTTGAAATGTGGTCTAGATTCGTGAGATAGACCAATGTAAAACGACATGGGCCATAAAGGCAAGGGCTGCAAGGGTTTATCGTGAACTTCCCCACGATGGCTTTAATTTCCACCATCTTTGGAAGTGATCTTTCATGACGAAGAGATTTTTAAATTCAGATATATATTAATTTTTTTTTCATTTTTAACACATGTTTTTTTGTAAACAGGGCTCAAAGATTCACGCCCATGTTCCAGATCAGTTTGTTGGCAAATTTCACGCCCTATTTAAGGAGGGTCGGATCTTTGCGGTGAAAAATTTTATGGTTGAAGAAAACTTTATGTTTTTCAAAACAACGACCAGTGCCTATAGGCTCAATTTTTTTAAAAAGAGTGAGTCCTTTGAGATGAAAATTCCTTTTCCTTTGAGAACATTTTCATTGGTGTCCTTTTCTACTTTACATGCGCAAGACGCTATTCATGATAGAGCGGCAATGGGTGGGCTTATAGTATTAAAGAAACGACATAGAGTATTCTGTTTATTGTATCAAATGCTAAAAAATTAATGGACGATGCAGATATCATTGGCCAGGTTGTCCATGATAAAGACCCTAAAAGGATCCTCAAGAACGATCGTCCTAAGAGGCTGATTGAGCTCATCTTAGGAGATACAGAGTTAGTGAAATTTACTATTAAACTGATCGTTGGATCATATTATTTGTTCATTTTCCTAATTAAAACGTGTTTTACAAGGGGTAATGTAATCGACTGCACACTATGAGGTCCTATGGTAGAAATGGTGTTGACCTAGAAACTAACCACAATTGAACCTATTGTTATGCTTCCGCAATGCTGCAGAGCAAGAAAATATCAAAGTGACCACTTTTTTTGTTAACTTTTATATGTTCACATATTCATACTAACGGACAAACTCGGATTAGGCCAAGTGTGCACGTATCCAATATGTTTAATACCACCAAAGTCATTCTGAATGGGTATGAGGAAGTGTTCAATGATTTCAAGGCGAGGTAAACATCGTTACATTTTACAATATCCTGGAACCAAGGCTAATGTGATGATTGACGCCCCCGATCAATTACTTTTTACACATAATGGCTGAAAGGTGCGGGGAGGGTTTAAGTTTTACAATATCTTCAGATACATCCAACGAGGCCGATATTAGCAGTGGACATTTTCCTTATAGGAATGGCTGCTAATTTCACATGGGAAACACGAAACCTCACTATCCCGCACCTTTCAGCCATTCTGTGTAAAAAATAATTGATCGGGCACGTCAATCATCACATTAGTCTTGGTTCCAGGATACTGTAAAATGTAACGATGTTTACCTCGCCTTGAAATCATTGAACACTTCCTCCGACCCATTCAGAATGACTTTGGTGGTATTAAACATATTGGATGCGTGCACTTGACCTAATCCTTGTTTGTCCGTTAGTATGAATATGTGAACACATAAAAATTAACAAAAAAGTGGTCACCTTGATATTTTCTTGCTCTGCACCATTGCAGAAGCATAACGATAGGTTTTGTTGTGGTTGGTTTTTAGGTGAGCAACATTACCCCTTGAAAAACATGTTTTAATTAGGAAAATGAACAAATAGTATGATCCAAGGATCAGTTTAATAGTAAGTTTTACCAACTCTGTGTCTCCTAAGATGAGCTCAATCAGCTTCTTAGGAGGATCGTTCTTGAGGATCGTTTTAGGGTCTTTATCATGGCTAACATGGCCAATGATATTTGCATTGTCCATTAATTTGTTAGCATTTGATACAATAAACAGAATACTTTATGCCACTTCTTTAATACTATAAGCCCACCAATTGTCGCTCTATCATCAATAGCGTCTTGCGCATGTAAAGTAGAAAATGACACCAATGAAAATGTCCTCAAAGGAAAAAGAATTTTCATCTCAAAGGCCTCACTCTTTTTAAAAAACTTGAGCCTATAGGCACTGGTTGTTGTTTTGAAAAACATAAAGTTTTCTTCATCCATAAAATTTTTCACTGCAAAGATCCGACCCTCCTTAAATAGGGCGTGAAATTTCCCAACAAACTGATCTGGAACATGGGCGTGAATCTTTGAGCCTTGTTTTAAAAAAAAACATGTGTTAAGAATGAAAAAAAAACATTTTTAATATATATCTGAATTTAAAAACCTCTTAGTCATGAAAGATCACTTCCAAAGATGGTGGAAAGCTATCGTGGGTAGGCTCACGATAAAAGCTTGCACCTCTTGCCTTTATGGTCTATGTTTGTCCCTGTATTCAACAATCAAAATAACAATATAGCATCAAATAGAGAAGAGAAGAACTATGTTTTCGATATCAGAATGATGTTCTCTAATACAGAGCAATATTCGAAATACACAGTGCGGAGATCTCTCTCTCTCTCTCACTAGAAGTATGCGTGAATAATATGAGAAGTCTTGCTGCACATTCCCTTAAAGGCAATATTTATATGCCTAGGGAATGTGTTGATGCGACCTAAGCATGATTGGGCTTCTTTACTTAGTTGACCCAATAGCACACTTTACAATATTTCCTAATAAGGCTAGTCTAATGATAGCTAACAAAGATCCCAATGGAGAGAAATATCTAGACATAATAACTACACAAATACAAATATATTTAACTAGATTGGACACCATAAAATATTCCCAACAATCTCTCCCTTGGTGTTCAATCGTGTTCAATCAGCATTGCAGCGCAGATATCTTTGTCTTTGCGTTGATTCAGCAATGTAGAAGAGAGCGTAGATAAGATTTGTCCAGTTGTTCCTCTTTTTCTTGAACTTCAGTGCAACTCAGCTTCCTTTGTCTTCGTCTTGAACTCGGCTTCTTAAGAAGGCTTTTTGAAGGAATCCTTGTAATCTCCCCTTCGATGTCTTCTTGGCAACTTGTTCTTTGATGTCGTGGAGTTGAAGGATCTTCAGTATCTTGCATGTAACCCTTGCCTTCCAGAAGTTGATCTTGATCAGCTTGAATGAATTGCGATGGCACCTTTGGAATGAATGTTGTTTGTGCTTCATACTCGAAGGGCGGATTTGCTGTCATGGCTCGAGGAGATCGGCGTTGTGGTCAAGGTTCGAGGACGATGTATTGCTGTCGTCGTTGGAGAAGATCGGCGCCGCCTATCCGTTTACTCTGGTTGCATGAAGCAAGGATGAGTTTGGTTATGCAGGGACGGAGGATTGATGCATGGCCTTTGGCAGACAAAGGTCACGGGGTATCAATTAGCATGGTACCGGTGATAAGACCTCCTCCTGAACCACCACCATGGGATGTACGAGGTGCTAGAGTTCGTGAACGCTTTTCTTGTAGTTTTTATCTGTTTGTTATTTGTTTTCTTGTGTCCACTTTTGTTGTTTGTTTTGACAGTTTGTTTGAGTTTTTTGCCTCTCTTTATGTCATTGAGTGTGTTGGATCTATGGGAATAGGTTTGGCTGTGTCAAGCCCATTACATGGTTAGCGATTCGTGTTGCTCTCTCAGGGGTGACCGTCTCAAAGTCTCACCATAGGGTTACAGTCGTAGTTATTGAAGTTTCAGTTGGTGTCAGTTTTATTTTCCTTTTGTTTGATGTAATGCTCCTGAATCTTTTGATATGAATAGAGACCCGTTTGATGATAAAAAAAAATTGTTTTTAACACAAATAATAACAAATTCACTTAATCGAGAATTCCTTATAGATGAGTTTTATATTTTGAAGTCGTGTCAATGCACTTAAGATTTTATTATATATGTGCCTTAAAATATTTACCTCATCCCAATTAAAGTCTTTAAGTAATGAATATATAAGATTTTTAGTATATATGGATGAGTGTGCCGAAGTTTTATTTTAGCCCACCTCATTTTAACTTTCTGGATCCGCCCCTGGTTGGGGCCACATCTGCGGCTAAAGGGTTTACCGTAATCTAAAAATTATTCGCTCATTCCAATCTGCGGCTAAAGGGTTTACCGTAATCTAAAAAAATTATTCGCTCATTCCAGTTAGTTGCTTTGTTGAACTTTTGCTATTTATTAAGTATTTGCATGTTCAGATTTTAGCATAATAACACGATTACTTTTTTTTGTTGATTAACATGCATGGTTGGGATGAATTCTGTTTCACTCGCCGTTTTAATCAACCATTTTGATGAGTAGCTAAATTCTTAAGTCCTGAATTATGATGATGTTGCTATGATTTAGTATGAATTGTGATTATAGTTATGTTAATTGATTGAGTTTTATCCATTGTTCTTATTCGCTTAATTGATAAAGTTAATTTCTGGCCAACTTTAATATGATTAATTACGTTGTTTGAGTGGATTAATAGAGTACATGTCATGCCTATTAGTTCGATCTCTTTTGGATTGTTGAGTTTAATCCAACACGATATAGTAAATATATGTATAAATGTGTATGAACAAACTCAGTTTTTATGTGGAAGCCCGAAAGGGAGAAAACCACGAGACTTTTTAGGCTAATGTCCAAACCCTCTCATTCTCATTAGACTATCCTCACCATTACATAGTACAATTTGAGCTCCATTAATGGAGTCTTGCAAAACTATTCTAGAGAGAAGGAATGAGTTGGGGAAGAAGCGAAAAAAGCCCATAACATGGAGGGAAAGCCTTATATTTATAGGTAAAATGGGATGGGGGATAAGTCTACCCTAATGGGCCAAGTAAGCCCAAAATGGGCCCAAAGGCCGAAATAGGCCCGATAGGCTGGAAATAGGCCTCGCCGATCGGGTTCCATACTACGTACAGTCTTGGGCTCCTGAACAGTAACGGACCGAGATAATATATCTCAACACAAGTCCCCCAGTTTCTTGAGTAGTCAGCGCGCGAATCTGCTCGAGAAAGTATACTCTTGTCTACGCTCTTCCTCTGCCTTCCTTATGCATGGCCTCGGCTTTCGGAGCAAAGGCTTAACAATGCCTTGGCCTTGGTGTGAGGGTTGGGGCGCTCGGCCCACGGATGCCCGACCCGACTTCTTTTGGACGTTCGACCCTTAAGAACTCGGCCTAGATATGTCTTTGCTTTTGATGTATGACCCCGGTTGCAGCTCTCGGAGTCGTCATACAGCGACAATCCTCGGCCTATTCCTAGAGACGTTCGACCTCCAGATGTTAGGTTGGGTCTCCTTGGGACATTTCTACCTCAACATGCTCAGCCTGGGCATGCCCGGTCTCAGGATGTGTTGCGCGTCTCAAAGCCCTCGGCCTCTAGGGTGGAGAAGCTCGTCTCCCGACCCTCGGCCTCCGGCGTGAAAGAAGTTCGTCCCTGGGCTTTGGCCTCCAAGCCCTTGGCTTTTGATGGTTTTCTATAGATCCTCGGCTTCTGGGGTGGAGGATGCTCGTCCCCGGGCCTAGGCCACTGGACGATAGATGATCGTCCTCGGGCCCTCGGCATCCGGGGTGAAAGATGCTCGTCTCCAAGCCCTTTGCCTTTGATGGTCTTCTTTAGATCCTCAGCCTCCGGCATGAAAGATGTTCGTCCCCGGGCTTTGGCCTCCAAGCCCTTGGCCTTTGATGGTTTTCTATAGATCATCGGCTTCTGGGGTGGAGGATGCTCGTCCCCGGGCCTAGGCCACTGGACGATAGATGATCGTCTTCGGGCCCTTGGCCTTTGATGGTCTTCTTTAGATGCTCGGCCTCTGGGGAGGAGATGATCGTCCACGACCCTTGGCACCTGAGGTGGAAGATGCTCGTCTCAGAGCCCTTGGCCCAAGATTCATTTTGAGCATCATCTCTTATCGGTCGTCCCGATTATGATCTTTGTCTGCACAATGAACATAGTAACGCGGCCAAATGGCCAGACAACATGTATATGTGCACAATTTTTTTTTATTTGGGGCTCTTCCGAGTGTGACCGTCAGCCTCCGGGTGCGATGACCCTCGGCTCGGCTCGTCCCCTAATTAATAAATCAAAATGCCGGTGGAAGCTCATCCCCAAGCTTCGCTCGGCATTATTTATTTCGGGACATTTTATCCCTAATAAATAATGATGATGAAAATATTAGCAGTACTAATATCTTAAGTTGTTAACAATTAGATGTACCAATTTAGAATATGGGTACTTAGCTTTAAAAAATGGGGACGTTCGGTCAGGAGGCTCATGAAGTCAGATCTTCTCCCCTTTTGTAAATTTGATTTAGTCAACTTAAGCAATCAGTTGGCCCCACATCTTTTTAGGAGGCTCCCTCAGTTCCGGCGAGTGGATGCTAGGTGCGGAACTAAACCAGAATCTTTCCATCCTGATTGAGAGGACGAGCGGCTCAAACCGTGGCCGGTGGAGCCAGCTGTGACCGTGTTGCAAGTGTTAAGGGATCTGGGGCGCAACAGCAGGCTTCGTTCGGGGCAGACGAACACCAAGAGGGTCCACGGCAGTTGGGGATGGCTCCGGCTGCTCCGGCGGCCCCAACCCAGATCTGGGAAATTGTGATTTAAACTCCCAGACTTCGTAGCTTCGTTACTTCCCAGAGTCATTGTTTATTTTTAGAATTTCTTTTGTTCCCAGAATCTTCTTGTTGAAATCAGTTTATTTAGTACTCCCTCCGTATCACATATATCTTCCCACTTCCAAAGTGGGTGAGATTAAGAATAGTGAAATGGGGTATGAATTATTGAGGGTATGATGGGAAGATGGTGAAATAATGTGATGGAATGAAGGATAAATCCAAAAAAAGTAGGTGTGGTAGTGTATTATTTTTTAAATTATTGAGGGTATGATGGGAAGATTTAGAAACGGGAAGATATAAATGTTACGTCCAAAAAGGGAAAGTGGGAAGATATGAATGTTACGGAGGGAGTATGATTTTTCTACGAAAAATCAAGAACACGCTAAACTTTTTGAACTGATTCCCACAGACAGCGTCAGTGTTGAGTTTAATCCAACACGATATAGTAATGAGACGGAGTATATGTATAAATGTGTGTGAACAAGCTCAGTTTTTACGTGGAAACCCGAAAGGGAGAAAACCACGGGACTTTTTAGGCTAATGTTCAAGTCCCCCCATTCTCATTAGACTCTCTTCAGTCTTCACCATTACATAGTACAATTTGAGCTCCATTAATGGAGTCTTGCAAAACTATTCTAGAGAGAAGAAATGAGTTGGGGAAGAAGAGAAAAAGCCCATAACATGGAGGGAAAGCCTTATATTTATAGGAAAAATGGGATGAGGGATAAGTCTACCCTAATGGGCCAAGTTAGCCCAAAATGGGCCCAAAGGCCGAAATAGGCTCGATAGGCTGGAAATAGGTCTCGCTGATCGGGTTCCGTACTACGTACAGTCTTGAGCTCCTGAACAGTAACGGACCGAGATAATATATCTCAACATGGATAAAAGAATAGACAATCCATCTGTCTTTTTAGGTTATCTATTTAATTCTTAAATCAGGTTTCCGTAGTTCTTTTGTGATTAATGGATTTTAAATATTGAATTAATAATTTCCTGTTGATTAATAGTTAAAGTACGTGACTTATTCTGGATGTCATACGGAGTAGTCATATTTTTGCCTCGAACAAACTCTCAGTATTAATTGACTAACTAAATCACAAATACTAGAAATTAGTGACTGAATCATAATCCTGTACTATCTTTTATCTTGCTAAGTTTTCAATCACTTTCCTGTTAGTTGTTTAATCACTTTGTTTTTAGTCATTTAAATTCCTTGCATCCATTTTAATTCAAGCTTTACTTTTTCAGTTTCAACTCAAACAAATTCAAAACTCATTTTTTGTTAGATTACTTTCACTTTTAATTTTTATTAATTAATAGTTTTCCAAGTACGTAGTTACATTTTCCCCATGGATGCGACCCTTACTTGAGCATTGTACTATTGTGACTCGTGCACTTGCGACTGTTGCGAGGACTTATAAATTGTCTATCAGTATGTATCCACATGAGATGGTTGACTTTTAACTCAAGTGGAATCACAACACTTTTTATACGCCACGGACTAGCTTATAAAATTAGCTGGAGCAATGTGCGTGCATCTTGCAGCACATCATGAATATTTTTTGTTTTTTTGGGCACCACTGTTTTGGCCACAGAGATGTCTACAATTTACTAATTTCAGAATTTTTCAACATATGATATTACAATACCAAAATCACTGCATTTCCAGTCTTCGAGTAGGAAGTTAGCAAAAGAAGAATCAAAAGCAAAACATGTTTACACATTTTAGAATTCTCAGAAGCAATTTAACAAGTGTTTAGGCTTCTGAAATACAAGTAAACTGCAGACATGTGAAATGTTTAATCAAAAGAAACACAATCTCCATGGTCTTCTTCCTCGCCATCTTCTGATCCATCTTCTAGATTTTCACCAAGTTCTGGTACAATATCATCTTCATGGGTTGTATGAACTGGTTCTTTTCCTTTATTGCTTTTATCAAATACACAAGTGTTGCTTGAGCTTGTGTTCCTCATCTCTGCAAAATTATAAACAAGTTTAAGAAAAAAGAAAAAATTAAAGGCCAAATTAAAAACAAAATCAGTCAATCAAATGAACTAAATATAGAAATATTAGAATTTTACCTTCTTCAATGTCTTCATAAAACTGCAGTTCCTCAACACAAGGCTCATCTTCAAAGTTAGTGATAATACTATCACCCCTCAACCAATTCTGCATGCATATCAAAGCTTCGACTGACCTGGGACTTAATGAGCTCCTAAAGGCATCTATAACTCTCCCACTTGTGCTAAATGCACTTTCTGAAGCGACCGTAGACACTTGGACAGCTAATAGGTCCTTTGCAATGAGAGCTAACACAGGATATTGATTTGCATTGGTCTTCCACCACCTTAATAGATCAAAAGACCTATACTGTTCTGCCAATTCTTGTGCTGAATAATCAGTTGATCCATGTATTGCACTTGACCCCTCACCACCATTTTTCCCCAATAGCCATCACTTTATCTGTTAAATATCGATCGATCTCATGCTCTAATACATCCTCTTCACTTTCAGTTACCCGTTTACTCCACCTCATCACATATTTATTTGCAACTGTGGATGAACTGCTCTTCCCAGAACTACTTCCCTCATTCAATTTTTGTGTTTTGATTGGCAAGTTATTGGAACTACTATTAGTAGCTTTTCTCTTCTTCACATTGTTTTCTTCATATTCCTCATACAAAAGAAACAATAATTGTTTAATTTCAGTAACTTTTTTTTCCACCTCAAGAGGACCCCATAACAAATCTTCAACTAGAATCTCCTTCACATGGTTTAGTTTAAACCGTGGATCTAAAACCAGACCAATAATAATTAGAGGATTCATATCACTGAGCTTCCCAAAATACTTGGAGTATTTGGCTTTCATGAGTGAAGTAACATCAATCATTAACTGCTTGTTTTGATTTGGCAATCCACTGAATCGAGTATTCATTGCTTCTTCCATTTGAGCAATATCATGAAACATGGTATGGATTGTAGGACGTAGGGAAGCACTAACCCTAAGAGTTACATCATAAAAAACACTTAAAAAGCCTACAAATGTGTCACAAGCATCCCAATCAGAATCCTTAGGTGGCCCTACCCTTTTTCCCTTCTTTTGCACAATTACATTTCCATCGTCATCAAAACCTTCATCTGGCTCCTTAAAATAGGCTACATACGGGCTATCTTGATCTTGTTCCATCCTTTTAAAAGCTTTTTTTAACTTTAAAACAGAATCTAACATTGTATAAGTGGCGTTCCACCGCGTGGGCACATCTAAGCAACAAATACCTTTAAAAGGAAGCTTTTCCCGTTGAACAACTTTGTTGAAATACTCAAACCTAGCTGGAGAAGTCCTCACAAATCGGACTGCATTCCTAATAGCTACAATACTCGAATTTAATTTCTTCATCCCACTCATTCAACCTTGAAGCCAACAAGTCTAAAGTTGTCTTGTTTGCAGAGGCATTATCAACGGTGACCGTAAGTATCTTCTTGATTCCCCACTCATGCAAACAATCTTCCAAAATTTGAGCTATTGTTGAGCCTTGATGATTGGGAATCACACAAAAGTTTAACAACCTTTTATGCATTTTCCAGTCAGAATCTACAAAATGGGCAGTGATGACCATATAATTGTAGTTCTGTAAACTAGTCCATGTATCAGTGGTGAGAGAAACTCTGTGTGAACTCAACTGTTTAATTAATATCTTTTTCTTGGCCTCATACATCTATAGAAAGGTCCTAACTAGATTTCTCCTGGAAGGAATTTTAACAATGGCATACCTACCATGCAAAATTTTATAAACTCTATCTTCTCCACAAACGAGAAAGGCAACTCATCAAGCACAACCATTTCAACACAAGCTTCCAATGTATCTTTCTGACTAAAGGCCCTAGCAACAAGCTTATTGTAATCACCCTTTTCTGAGGTAAGTACTTTCTGTTTATTCATATCTACATTAGCCGGGTACCATCTGCACCGTTTTGAAATATGCCTGACTAAACCCCCAGTCCCATTAGGCCCGCTATCTGCAGCAAAGTCACCATTATCCTTTGGGCAATAGTTACATTTAGCCCTTTCTTTGTACTCCACTACACATCATATCTTTTAGTGTGTTCGTTTCTCACCTTTTTAACAGTTTTAATGCAATAACTAGTAAAATGCTCCCACACATTCGATCTGTAGACTCTAACCTTCATACCTGGGGGTGGATCGTATTGAATGTTCTGGCCTGTAGGCATGTTTGGTGCCAACACATGTGCACTGGCTGGCCTCCTTGCTATTTCCGTTGATGCCTTAGCTTTCACCTGAATTTGAGATACTTGCGTTGTTGGGGTACCTTCAGATTCTGACTCAGATGGCAAAGGTGAGGTCCCATTATTTGAACCAGTCCGGCTGCATTTTTTTGAATTAAATCTAGCCATTTGGTATTTTGATTCCTACATTAATTGATTAGAGTCAGCGATTTAAATATTAATGTGCATTGATGTATATATGTGTGTGTAACTGTGTATAACAAGATAAGAGAGACATGCAATAAAACAAAACTACACCATGGACTCAGGAAGGCAAAGGATTGCTAGATACTCATGTGTGGCTAAGGTCTGCAGTCTGCTCCAGGGAAACTAAATTAAACTTTTAAGGCAACTAACATTTCAGCACTCATGTAGAATACTAAAGTACACACAAACATATATTACGAAGTACAAAACTATAAAATAAATTGAAAATCAAAATGGGTATTCTACACTTCCACTAAATTTCAAGAGATAGATATTAGCAGACCTATACATCAAGTTAAAATTGTAATCTTGTAAGGATTTATCTAGCAAAATTTATTGACTTGATCAATATTAGCTCCAAACCTAGTAAATACTTCGTATATTTTTTCAATAAGTAATTAATTCATTATCAATGGCCCATAACCAAAACTGAGAACTCTATAAGTAGATACATACCTTGTCAGCTTGTCTTTTGCAGCGGAACAGGGGAGGTGGGTTTCTTCTTCGTCGTGCGATCAACCGAAGCGCAGGGAGTTCCGAGTTCCACAGAGTTTGCGGCGACGGTCGCTATTCTCCGGCGGTGTCAAGAGAGAGACCCTCAATCCCAGTTCAAAGCTATTTTTCGTCAGCAACTTGGTTCGGCACTCAGGCGGTTAATTCTCCAGCACCGTGGATGCAAAGCAAACTTCTGATTTCTGAAGCGGTAAGAACTTAGGATAGGTTAGGATGTTTTTACTTGGACTATAATTTGCTGGTCTGGTCTGATCTGGTCTGGTCTTGTCTGGTCTGAACTGGTCTGGTCTGGTCTGGTAAGGTCTGGTTTCTTTGTATTTTTATAACTATCCAAGTCTGGTCTGGTTTGGTCTGAACTGGTCTGGTCTGGTCTGGTCTGGTCTGGTCTGGGACAAATTACAGTCCAAGTAAAAACATCCTTAGATGTTTTGTCTCCGGACTTGGGGTAGAAAGTTTATTTGGGCTTTGGTATTAGATATCATTAAAAATTAAAATAACCTAGTAAATTGAAACGGGACACCGGGACGGGGAGACATTTTATAGCTGTTCCGGTCCCGTCCCGTTTGAAAACGGTTTGGGACCGGTTCGGGATGAAAAAAATGGATCCTAATTGGACCGGGATAGTTCCGGAACGGTACCGGGATTTTTCGTTTTGGGACACCGGGACCGGGATTTTTGCCCACCCCTAGTTTTGGGCCTTGACTTAGATTATGATGTGAGTTTTCTCTCACTTAAAATATGTAGCGGTATACTGATGTTACGTTAATTTACTTTGGTATTTGAGATAGATTCGAACTCATGTAACGTTAATTTTGAAAACTTCTTAATTTCGAACTCAAAAAATAAAAACCAATACTACGTATTATTTTAAGGGGTTATAACTTTTTTATTTGTACTCTGATGATAACAAAAAATATATCATAATTTATAATTTTTTATTATCTTTCATTTGACACCAATATTGAATATATATATAAAAAAATAAAAAAATTAGCATTTAATAAATAAATGTTTTTTAAAGTGTTATATATATATTTATTTGTACTATGACTGTTCCAAAAAGAATATAAAAATTCATTACATTTTATTCTATTTAACTGTGTCGTGTACTGAATAAAATGATTTTTTAGTTTGAATATGTGTGTGTACGGGTATTGGTATAATTCACGCACCCACTTCCCTCTGAGAGAGTTGAACATTTCCACCCGGATGACGATGCGAATGGCTAGCTCGCTCACCCACGCTCGCCCTTTTATCAGCTCCCCCACCGTCTATTCTTCCCGGTTAGTCCCGCACCCGCCGGACCTCGTCAAGTGGATCAGGAGAGAAGGAGGGTTCGTCCACCCGTCGCTGAGGATAGCAAACTTAGAGGAAAATGGGCTCGGGCTGGTTGTTTCTGAAGATATACCCAAGGGCTCTGGCCTAATTTCCCTCCCAGAGAACCTCCCGCTTCAGTTTGGACCGGTGGAATCTGATACTACGATTGCCAAACTGGCTCAACAAATCCCTGGTATCTTTCTGTTTTTGTTTCTTTCATGCTATCTGTTCATTTGTATTTGATATTTGTTCAATATCGAAATTTAGTTTCGATACATTTTACGGAGTATTGTTTAATGATGTTGGGTGTGAGCTGGACTAGAAAGAGATGATATGCTGAAATATTTATCCTTTTGTTCCTAAGTTGGGCATACGGAAAAAATGAAAAATAGAAGGTGAATAAACTAATTATAATGATTGATAAATTTTGAAACGATTCAAAGGGATTTCTGCATCGTTCAATAATTCAATTCCCAACTAAGCATTACTTGGATGTCTATCATTATTATTGGTACACTCTAAATCCTTCAACCAAGTAAGCCTATCTGATTAAATTTGAACAAGAAAAAGACTCCTCCCAGGCCGGAAAACTTTTCCTGAACCAAAGCATTTTTTTTCTAAACGTTTTGTAGGTCCAATGCATCACCAATAATAAGAATAGCCATCATGCCTTCTAAATTCTAAGGGAAGTTTAAACTTTCTTAACAAATGCTCTGTTATAACTAACAAATAACAATCATTCAGATTTCAGGAAATCCTTTTTATCTCCATAGTACATGACTTCATGTAGGCAGCGGCGGACACAGGATTTCCCGGTAGCAGGGGTGGCAGTACAAGAATATACATACAAATACATATATATTAAAAATTTCGGGGTAAATATACCTAGATTTTTTTTGGAGGGGCGGCAGCCCCCCTTTGTGTCCGCCACTGCATTTAGGCCTGTAGTATGCTAGTATTACTGTTTAAAGTTTGATTAAATATCAAGGGGATTGTGATGTGTATTGAAATTTATAGTATGTATTTTCTAATTTGATCCAATTAATTTACACATTCTTTCCTATGTGGTCTATGCATGTACTTTCTTTATCAGTATGTGATATGAAGCGGGAAGAGCATGTGGCGGGACCGGGCTTGGGCCCACTTTCGTGGGCCGGTTAGGGGCTGAGTTTTTTAATTTAATTAGTTTCAATAATGTTAGTTCTTTTATTATTGCTATTTATTTTATTAGAATTTCCTTAGGTTGGTACGTATGGATTCTCTTCCCCTTAGGCTTGTGCGCAAGTCTGCTTCCCAATAGGATAGGCTAGCTACGTACAATTAATTAATTAGCTTATTGGTTTCCTACTAGAACTTAAATGTTCCTAGTAGGATACTAGGATAGCATTATTTATACCCACGTAGGGTTATTCAGTCGGGGGAATAAAAAAATTGAGATTTGTTAAGCTAAATTAGCTTGGGCAACGGATTCTTCCGTTGATTATTCTGGGCAACGGTTTACCCCGTTGATTTTATTTTTCTGTTCTTATCAATTGATCCGACCTGGCGGATCCCGTCCCGCCAAGATGACGAGATCTCAGAATGATCGATTGACAGAGCTGGAGAACGAACAAACTCGTATGAGAGAAGAAGTGACCCGGATAACGGCCGAACAGGCAGAGCATGGTGGCAAGCTGTCGGAGATCATCGCGTCACTAGCGGCGTTGACCCAGGCGATGGTCCCGCCGGTCACACCGAAAAAAGCCGCGGATGACGTGGGTCAAATCCCGGCAACCGAGCTGCATAGAGAAGGCGTGCTGAGCAATCCAAATATAACGCTGCTTCCGTCGTTCGATGGGGGAGACCCAATTGGGTGGATCGCTCGGGTAGAGCAACAGTTCGAATTACACAACACTTTACCGGAAAAGAAGGTGGCTGCCGCGATGGTAGCTATGGAAGGAGGAGCGCTTTACTGGGTGACCTGGCTGAGATCGCGCAGGCCCGGGATGACTCGGGCAGATTTCAAGCAAGCCTTGGTCGACAGATTTGATTCTCGATTTCAGGGGAATAAGTATGAGCGATTGTCCGGAGTCAGGCAAATTGGGTCTATAGAAGATTACAATATCTTGTTTGTTCAGCTAGCAAGCCAAGTTCTAGAGTTACCCGATGAGCACTATTTAGGATATTACATGAGCGGTCTTAAGGAGATAATCCGAAGCTCGCTGCGATTGCTCCGACCAAACAACCTGGAGATGGCTATGGAATTAGCTCGCGAAGTGGAGTATAATCTGTCCGTCCAAAGTGGAGAAAGTGGCAGCCTGAATTATCATTCATCGGGAGTACGTTCTAGCAGCCTTTTAAGGGCAAACGCAGATTCCCCGTTGACTGCCGCTGGTGGCAGCTTACAGGGTTCGGAGGGCAGCTTTGCAAAAGATAGTGGACAACCTCCAGGGACAAAGTCAGGTCTGTCCGGGCAGCCTACGACACGCTCTCAGTTCACTCGACTACCGCCAAAAGAGTTTGCAGAATTGAGGGCGAAAGGATTGTGCTTTAGGTGTAAGAAACCATTTACGCCAACACATGATTGCCCCTTTAAGCAGCTGCGAGTAATGTTAGCTGAGGAGGATGAAGAGTTGGACCTGAAGCAGTATGAATTCTGTGAAATAACCGGCAAGGAAAGGGTTCAGGAAAGAGAAGAAGAATATTTTCCAGTCTATTCTATGTCTGGAAATTTCAGTTCCCGATCCGCGAGTTTTCAACCTTGAGGACAAGGTTATTTTAAGGGGGATGGATTGATATGAAGCGGGAAGAGCATGTGGCGGGACCGGGCTTGGGCCCACTTTCGTGGGCCGGTTAGGGGCTGAGTTTTTAATTTAATTAGTTTCAATAATGTTAGTTCTTTTATTATTGCTATTTATTTTATTAGAATTTCCTTAGGTTGGTACGTATGGATTCTCTTCCCCTTAGGCTTATGCGCAAGTCTGCTTCCCAATAGGATAGGCTAGCTACGTACAATTAATTAATTAGCTTATTGGTTTCCTACTAGAACTTAAATGTTCCTAGTAGGATACTAGGATAGCATTATTTATACCCACGTAGGGTTATTCAGTCGGGGGAATAAAAAAATTGAGATTTGTTAAGCTAAATTAGCTTGGGCAACGGATTCTTCCGTTGATTATTCTGGGCAACGGTTTACCCCGTTGATTTTATTTTTCTGTTCTTATCAGTATGTATGGACGTATGGTACTTTGGTAGGTAATTATATTTTAGTTTAGTAAGTTTTTAACTCAAATCATTGCAAATAGGATTTTGAGTTTTGAATATAAGTAAAGCATTTGGCAGAGGAGCTATGGGCTATGAAATTGGGTTTGAAACTCCTGCAAGAAAGAGCTAGAAAAGGGTCCTTTTGGTGGCCATACATCTCTAATCTTCCAGAGACCTATGGTGTGCCTATATTCTTTCCTGGAGAAGATATAAAGAACTTGCAGTATGCCCCTCTTCTTTATCAGGTATTTTCAGGACTCTTGGTGAACTTATGGTCATTGGTCAGGGTATTTTTCCGACCTGGAAAATGTTAGGGAGGAAAATTTGAAAAAGCTATCTATTCAAACTCATTATGTGTGTGTGGGTGAACAAGAGTTACAGGCTAAATACTAATAAAAATTAGTAAAATTTGAACAGATATAGAAAAGGTTGGTACCCACAAAATGCTAGGGAAAGAAATAGGGAGGATAAAGAAGGAAAGTGTATAAGGGAAAACTGAGTTTGTGAAGATATATAAAAAATGGTTCAAACTCAATAAATCAATTTAGTTTTGTTCAAAGTTCAAACACATTTGCTCATATATTTCTATTTTATAAAGGTTGGGACATGCCAATATATGGACTACCACAAAAAGTTTTAATCATTTTATTTTGACTTTCGAAGTTGAACCCAAACTATTTAAAACAATTTTCATTAGCCTTATTTTTTCTTTTCCCTGCTACCTGTTTTACAAATTTAGCTGAATTCCATTCATATTATCTTGTGTTCAGCTAAACATTTAAAAACTATACTCCGTATTGACCTTACCAAACCCCCCTAAACATTAAAAAATTGTACTCCATATTTCCCTTACCATTCCCCCCTGATAGGAACCAGACACGCAATAGGAGAATTTATGTATATTAACTATTAAGCATGGGATTTAGAGAAGATATCAGGATTTCATAAGCAACTATACAATGGCAGAATCAATAAACCAGTGTACAAAAAAGATAGAGGCAATTTCGAGAGTGTCTCTCTTTCCCAAATCCCAATAAATCGATCCAAATCCCAGCCTCCCTTCTTTCTTTCCTTTCTGTTTGTATCAACAGTCTCCTCCCCCAGAATGAGATGTCCATCTCATCTAGTTAGTTACAATTCCTGGTTCCTTTTCTTCTATACATTTTCTCAAAGTATTTGATATTATTATGATTAATCGGAACCAGACACACGATAAGAGAATTTATGTATATTAAGTATGGACAGAGAAGATCTCAGAATTCCATGAGCAAATACAATGGCAGAATCGATAAACCAGCGTACAAAGAAGATAAAAACAATTTCAAGAGTGTCTCTCTCCCAAGGCCCAACAAATCTATCCTAGTCCTAGCCTCCCTTCTCTCTCCTTTCTGTTTGTATTAATAGTCTCCCCCTAGCATGAGATGCCCGATCTCATCGAGTTAGTTACAATTCCGGGTCTGCATCATCATTACCCTCTTGAACTTCCACCTTGTCCTCAAGGTGGAATGCTGAAAACTGCTCCTTGAATTTACTTAGAGATTCCCACGGGTCTTCAAAATCAGGTAACTGCCTCCAATGTACCAGTAGTTCCTTGTCACATGTTGGACTCATTCTGGTTACCAGAATCTTTTCTGGTGTAGCCTGTAGCTCCCACTCTTCTGAGGTAAGGGTTGGCAAGATGTGTTAGGGGCCACTGACTTCTTTAAAAGTATATGTGAAACACTGGATGAATAGCACATCCTTCTGGCAGCTTCAATCTGAAAACTACTGGGTTCACCTTCTCAGTCACCTCAAAAGGCCCAATGAATCTGGGGCTCAACTTCTGGTTTTCTCTCTTGCCTCGAGCGTAAATCGTGTAAGCTAGACGTATTGCATGAAGCCACCAATCCAATGATTCCCATGAATCAGCAGTCACGTAGACAGGACTGACATATCCATGAACTGTATCAATGCAGAGGAGACAATATCAGGCATGTCAAGTGTCAACTTTGATAGCTCGTCTTCTTGAACTCGTGCTATCTCCAGGGTTCGAGGAGAGGTTTCGGCTTTGCTCAATCGTACTGATCTAGTGTAGCCCCTCACGATTCAGGACAAATTGAGAACGCTTTTAATCATTATGTGGTGCAAGTGGATTTCAGGAAGGAAGCAGGTGGTCCAGCTAGATATCCAACCTTTAAATAGGGTAGAGGCAGCATGGAATATGGAATGGAGAATGGAGATCCCCTAGGTTGAGTAGTATCATCGTCCAGATCTGGGACTGATGGTGCAGCCGGCTTCAACTCAGGATTCAGTGTCAGTGGTGGAGTTCCCAGCAATCCATTTTCTGATTCAACGTGGTCTATGGCTCTGGAAGCGGATGATTCTTGATTCTCCGTCCGTCGTCTGCGCCTCAGAGTTTTGGATCTTCCTCGCGATCGCCGTCTCTCCTGCTGGACAATGATATTCCGTAGCGCTTCAATCATTGCTTGCATGCCGTTGACGTTTCCCTCCACATTTTCCAGTCATCTCTCCATTTTTGATCGGGTGACTGGCCTTCACTGGACTCACCTGAATCTGATTCTTCCAGATGCTCTGATACCAATAATAAGAATCAAATACGCAATAGGAGAACTAATTTATACTCCCTCCGTCCCGGAAAATTGTTCCCGCATTGACTTGGAACAGAGTTTAAGAAAGTGGGAATAAAGTGGAAATGTATGGTTGTGGTTGAGTAAGAAAAAGGTAAATGAATTGTAGCCACAAAAAACTTTCCAAAAGGGGAAAGTGGAACAATTTTTGGGACGGCCCAAAAAGGAAACCGGGAACAATTTTCCGGGACGGAGGGAGTATCAAGTATGGAATTCAGAGAAGATATCAGAATTCCTTAAGCAAATACAATGGCAGAATCAATAAATTAAATCTATCCAAATCGAGACAATTCCGAGAGTGTCCCTCTCTCCCAAGGCCCAACAAATCTATCCAAATCCCAGCCTCCCTTCTATCTCCTTTCTGTCATTTAGAGCAACCTTGGCAAAATGGAAGACAATGGAGAAACTGGTGTTATTGCATTTTTTTCTTCAGAACTACTAAGATGTGTTTGGCTCTCTTTGTGTCCATATGCAATATCACAACGGGAAAGAAACAGTGAGAATGCGATTCCATTTAAAAATGTAAGAAATACATATGCGGTTTAATGTTTAATTACTTGGATTGAGGAAATGAGAATTTTCCATCATTTGCAATGAAGCCAAAGATTCACTATTTTTTGGCTCGAGAATATGATGGAATAAAGCAAAATGACTCACTAAACTGTCTACGCTTCTTTGTTATGAAGTAGCAATCCATTCATGCAATTTTGGACGCGTTTTTCACTATGGGTCATCCGGAAACAGTCTCTCTGTGCTTTAGTACAGGGGTAAGACTGCGTACATCCGACCCCTCTGAACATTTCCTCAATCATCATTATTACGCCAGTGCCGCAAAGGCTCCCACCTATGATGGGGTAAGGGGAGTCGGATGTACACGGTTTTACCCCTGTACTAAAGCACAAAGAGACTGTTTCCGGATGACCCATAGTGAAAAACGCAAAGGCTTTAGTAACAATCTCTCTGACAACACTGAATCAGCACTGTCATGTTAAAAATACCTGGATGTACTAGAATATTAATGTTTAAAAAATCATATTAAGTAAGAATAAAGAAGAAAGAAAGTGACATGGTTGAAAATCAAATTAAATTAAAATTTCCAATAGTTTATCTTCATATGCTAAAACTTGACTTGCTGTATCTTGTGCCCATCAGGGGGAAACCGCAAAAGATGAGATTGATAGTTACTATTTACTAATTGCTTTTACTTCTGGGGTATTGTGAATAATTTTTCTCTCATGTGATTATGCTGGAATTTATAATCAGTGTTGTCAATAGCGCGCTATAGCGGAGCGGAGGAAGGGTTGAGCGCTACAGCCTACAAGAACACCTGTAGCGTTGCGTTTGACTCTAGTGGGAGTAGCGCACTAGCGGCTGCTATAGTGGGAGTAGCGGACGCTATAGCGGCACTATTTTCTTTTCTTCGCTGCAGTTAGGTTTTACCTTGGCTAAGTTTTGTTTTCTGAGGTATTAAGGGTAAAGTAGACTTTTGAAAATATATAGTAACCACTTTAAAAACCTTTTACGCACTAGTGTTGCGACTCACACCTATACGATGACAATTATCTGGTTCTCTTCTTCAAGAACAAGTGAACGACCTGTCGACCTTTGCAGCTTCATCTCCTACAAGAACGACATCTGCTACACTCCTCCTATTTGCTTCTTTTGAGTATATTTTCTTCTTCATCCTCTACGAGAACTACCTGTGCTGCACTCCTCTTCTTCTAAGTAACATCTATTTATTGTTTAGACTTGAGTTGTTATTTAAGTATTAATAGCATCATATGTTTTGTTCATGACAAAATGTAGTATTTTGTGTGTAATTTAGGATTTATGAATGTAAAGATGTTTGGTACTTTCAGTAACATAAATCATGATTTATAATTTGATGTGTACACAATGTAATTATATGCATACATATCATATGTATTTTGCATATATATTCTCTGAATAGCGGTCATCCCGCTATAGCGCTTTGAGGGCTGGCCGCAACACGCTATCTGGGATTGACAACGCTGTTTATAATGCACCAGGTAAACAAGAGATGTCGGTTTCTTCTAGAATTCGAGAGAATTGTAAAACAAGAGCTTGGTCATGTAAAGCAAGACAATCACCCTTTTGAAGACCAACATGTGGATTCATCAGCACTTGGATGGGCTATGTCAGCTGTTTCATCTCGTGCCTTCCGTTTGTATGGTGGAAAATGTCTCGATGGGACCCATAAAGATGTTCCGATGATGCTCCCATTAATTGACATGTGTAACCACAGCTTCAGTCCAAATGCTGAAATTGTACAGGAACATGAAGCAGGTGATGGAAAAATGCTTGTAAAGGTATTGATTGAATATAATTGTTTGCGTAGTTATAATGGATTTGCCAAAAATTTCATCATCATATCAAGTTTTGTTTGGTTGGGTTTAGGACAGAAACAGGGAAGAATAAGTATGAAAATCAGGAGCAGAAAATTGATGGGATAATGGGTAAAAGTGAAATGAAAAATGACTGATGTAAAAGCATTCATCCTTTATAATATACTCACGAAATTCAAATAAAAGGTAAAGTGTCTCATATAAACTATTATTACCCACTACTTTTTGTGTCCCCACTTTTTTGCGGGTGCCACCTTTTTGTGGGCCACAATTTTCTCCCCTTCCCCACTTTTTTCATCATCACAACAACACCATTACCCCAGTCACGCAAAGGTGGGGTAAGGAGGGATCGGATGTAGAATTTTCTCTCCCACATAGAGACTATTTCGGGATGACCCATGATGAAAATTGCATGGACTGATTGTCATAATGATGAAGCGCAAACAATTTAGTGAGCCATTTTGCTTTATTCCATCATATTCGCAAGCCAAAAAATAGTGAGTTTTTGGCTCCATTGGAAATGATGGACATTTTTTTCATCATCCTAACAAGTAAATAAATTCTCTATCTTCCACTTTTCTCTTCATCCGAAGTCTGAACAACTAAAGAAATTCTCTCCCACTTATTTCTTTCACACTGCTCTCATCCCAGAATCTATCTAAACAAAACAAGCAAAGTATTAATGTGTTTCCTCTTTTAACTATTATTATATTACGCTTTCTCATTGGTGTTTCCATTACAGGTGATTGCTGCAGAAAACATAAAACAAGGTGATGAGTTAGAACTTAACTATGGCTGTCTGAATAATGATCTTTTTCTTCTTGATTATGGATTTGTGATACCCTCAAATCCCTATGACTGCATTGAGCTTAAGTATGATGCGGCTCTTCTTGATGCTGCAAGCATGGCTGCTGGAGTTCATTCCCCAAACTTCTCTTCACCAACCCCTTGGCAGCGAGAGATTTTGTCCGACCTAAATCTTGATGGCGAAAATTCCGATCTGAAGGTAAATTTATTTATTCTGCCTAGGCCCTTGCTATTTTCACTCACACTGATTTGGGTATTTTCCATGGGAGAGGAAGATGAGAAGGGAAAACAAAATTTTATTTTGAAGTCTTATTATTATTAATATTACTACCTCTTGTGTTTTGTTTGAGGTACGAGAGTACAGGAAGGGAAGAAAAGGTACTCAAAATAAGAGTTCAGCTAAGAATAGAACTCATTCACTTCTAAAAAAGAATAAAAGGAATCTATAATTGATTTTGTAGGAGTGAATGTGTTCTATATTCATGTGGAAATGCTTTTCCTATTTGAATAAATATGTTACTATGCTTTGGTCCTACTTATGTAATTTTTCTAGTAGGGAATGTATATGATTCATTTTTATTAATTTGAATTGTTGATTTTGGATGGAAGTATAGTTATAATGTTACCAAATGACTATTTGAACCTTCATAACATACACTAAATGAATTTCAAAAAACTACAGAGTAGGATTAAAATGTATTTTTTCATGAATAATGGTTTTTCCTTCCATTTTGGAGAGGAATAGGATGGAAAATAAGGTTCATTTTCCTTTCCATCCTTGATCCCGTCCCAGACTAGTTGAACTGTTTTTCTCTTCATATTGAAATGTAGCCTCTTTCTCTTGTTTTTGAAAATGTCGTCCTTTAAATTTGTAATCTGTTGTAACTCTAGCTCCTGCCGTCATGGTAGTCAAACTCGAGATCCTACGTAGAATGGGAAGGAGACCGGCCTAAAAATTGGAAATCAAGGATCGTAACTCGAGTTGTAAGATCCTACAATATATGTGTGTGTATAGTTTTAATTATACAAGCATACAACAACAACATCCAAGATTCCAAGGCTTCAAGCCTTAGTCCTAAAAAATATTGGGGTCGACTAACATGATGTCGGAGGCAAAAAGAAAAGAAAGATGCGAAAGATAAAAAGATAAGGCATGACAAAAAAGATTAGGTAAAGATAAATATAAGATAAAGATAAAAATGATAAGATAAAAAGAATATTTATAATATAAAAAGGATAAAGAACATAAGAAAGATACAGAAGATAAAAAGATAAAAAAAAATGAAAAGAGATGAATTCTCCACACAAATATTCTTCCTCCACTTTGCTCTCCCCAAAGCCATGCTCTCATCCAACCCAAGAAGAAGCATAATTTTAATTATTCATTTACTACAATCCATGAATAATAATATTATAATACATTAGCTATCTAAGACTCAAAACAGAAAGAGTCCTAGCTAGACAACTAGACGTCTAACACAGATAGACTGAACCTATAAACTGTTTTTATACTATATTGGAACTCGTTATACTGATACAGTTCCTAGGGATTTTTTACTGCCTAATAAAAATGAAAAACAATAATAAATAATTACTTAAAGGTCGACACAGAAGATAACAACATATGAAGACCTGGAGGTCAACTACTTGACGCAGAAGATAAGGAGATGAAGAGAGGAAATAAACCAGATTGCAGGCCACAGGGGATTCACAGGGGTTTATTTGCATTAATTTTGAAGCTGTGAACCCGTTTCCACACATTATCCACAATTTCAGACTTTTCAGAATTATTTTTTCAGACAATTTTTAATAGGAGCTAATAGGAATCATATATTCGTACGATCCCACAGATGGTCAGATGGATCACAATTTTGACTACCATGCCTGCTGTTAATAAATTGACAAATTCCGTTCTTACATTTTTAACGGTAGGGACTATATAAAACACATGTTGCAAAATTAAGTGACGGCAGTTGCAACATATTGCACAATCAAGGGATTAAATTTTCATAATTTTAAACTGGCAATATGACTGAGGGACCCAAAGGACTAAATTTATAACACATGTCATAATTAAGGAAGGGTTCATTATCCTCCCTTACGGTGGGGCCCTCGCTTTGTAGCGACGCCAATGTGCACCGGGCTGCCTTTTATGTCATAATTAAAGGATGAAGTTTACAAAATTTAAAAGAGTGAATCGATTTCAATATGCAATATAAATGAGAGACTAAAAGTCCTATTTTCCCTTCTAATAATTTAATCGAGTAAAATTCCTCTATTATTTTGCTATTGCCATCTTTAAGTTGTGATGTCAACAGACTAAATTGCATATGTGATGATGTTCTATCTTTCACTCCACACTAAAATAGTTTAGGCTTGGGGGTCCTGAACTCGTTGAGGGACGTATGTTGGCTGCATTAAGAGCATTGCTATCAAACGACATGGAGTCGGTTCAAAATCACAGTATGGATACACTCAAGTCACTGTCAGCCGAATCACCCCTTGGAACATCAATCGAAGTTGCGGCTCTTCGTACCATTGTGGCCTTGTGTGTGATTGCTCTCGAACACTTTCCTACTAAAATCATGGAGGATGAGTCGTTATTGAAACAAGACATCTCCGCAACTACTGATTTGGCTATCCGGTTTAGGATGCAGAAGAAGTTTGTGATAATAGATGTAATGCGGGATCTTGCAAGGAGAATGAAGTTGCTCCTCTCAAAAGAACCTGCATCTGCTCAAAACTAGGTACAATTAACTTGAGGTTATGTTTTGAACTCGGAACAAAATGGTTTATAGATGTTTGATTTAACCTTGAAAAATATGATGGAACAAAATTTGATTAACTTTTAGTCTTCATATAATAAAAATGATTACACAAACAATTTTTCAAAATTGATTTGTTGAATCTGAAGCAATTTTTTATCCCCTCCCCCTCACATTTTTATTCCTACCAAAATTCTTCTATCTTCCTGTTCTTTCTCTATCATATTCTGAGTTTCAAAAAGACCCTAAGGCAAAATTTTAAAAATAGCATCAATCAATTTAAAATATTTTTCACTCATTTTTGTTAGTATCTCTATTATACAAAGGCAAAAAAAAGTTTAATCTAATATTTGTATGAAAAGATAATGAAATGTGATTTTCTTTTGTATTTTTCAAGTTCAAAGTGTTAAAACCAAACACAGAACACCATTTTCCTTTTCCGAGTTCCAAACATAACCTTAAACAAACTTTCCACAGTGGAGGTACTACATGGAGGGTTTAAATAACTTCACAGCAAGTCCTATTAAATTCTTTAGTGATTTCGACCCTCCTTGAACAATGAACAACCAGGGGTCGTCCCAACCCTTGTTGAGGCCTAAAGCTTACTCTAACAGTCTAATGTGTATATAAAGAAGCAAAAATGAGAGTCATTTTGAGAGGCTTTCTATATGTAAAGTTTAAAAAATGTGAGCCAATTAATGAATGCAGGGCCTATTGGTAACAAACTAAGAGTTTAGAGGCCTTTTTCACTCTGGTGGCCATAGCTTTATTAGCTTGGTCTTGGGACGACCCTGGCCGGACAGCTCAACTCCACTGTACATGAAATTATCTACTCCGTAGTTTTTACCTATAAGTATTTGCTATTCTAGATAGATAACTTGAGTTTTCCATTTTTTCAGAATTCTGGCACATTTAGGCATTTAGCCTTCCTGGGGGCATATTATTGGAAGGCTTGCAGCGAAATGGCAGAGGATCGGTTCCTCCTACTGCAGTCGACCTCTTGTGCATTACAGTGATGATGACTAGAAATTTGGGACCCATCGCGTTAGATCTGATCGATTCACTTCTTTCCCTACTGTTTACCGTTTCAACTTGATCCTTTAATGTGTTCATATGTTTACTTTTGAGCGCCTCATGGAATAATCATGGCTGCTCTTAAATTAAGTTTGCATAATGGTGAAGATAATACATTTCTACTTCTTAAAAAAAACAATTAATACATTGCTACTTCATCTTCAAGGATCAAGGCTATGTTATAAAAATCGGACCACGAAGTGACCCGGACAAGTGACAAGGTCAAGGACTCAAGGGTCAACCTAGACTTGGCAGGTCAACACTAAACAATTTAATTATATACTAGTGTAAGATTAAATTTATAAATAGAAATTATATCTCTTCATGATTTAATAATGATAATAACATAACATAAGTTAAAGAAACTACTAGGTACTACATACTACGTACGACATGTATTTTGTTTTTCATTTTTAAATACCCCAAACTTTGAAGGGTTGTGATGGAAGCACCCAAACTTGTATATGTAGTATATATTGCCTAAACTCTATATAAAAATATCCCAAAATGTAATGATCACACATTTTCTCTTTCATAAAATGTAAATTGTGTCAAGTGCACATTTTAAAATATTTTAGCATTCGTAAGGATACAGTTAACATTCTAAGCCTTTATTATGAAATAAACAACATTACCCTCGGTCTATAATTTTATAATTGCAACGCTTTTACTTTGCTAATTGTTATCGCTTTCAGTATTAATATATTTATTTGATTTTTACATTATTCACCACTCTATTTTGATTTTATTTTATTCATTGATGTATTACAAATTAAACAATATAATTTTAAAACTGTAATTTTTATTAATAGTCAATGTTAATAGTCAAAATTGTGTATTGGCATTTGGCAAATGTCTAACCGTGTTGCAATTATATATACAAATTGATGCAATATTAGTTATTTCAAACATAAAAGCTAAGGATGTTAATTGTATTCTCATAAATACTAAATGTATTTAAATTATTTATTTAACATCATAAATTTACATTTGTGAAAGAAAAATCATAATATATAACTTACTCCGTATTATATAGACTTTGAGATATTTATATTTTACTCCGTATTACATACGTAAATTTGGAGTGTTTATGTCACACCCTTCAAAATTTGTGATATTTGAATTATTTTTCCCTCTATAGAATTGGTGAGTATAAACAATAGCATTAGATTGTACGATTTATTATTGTTATTGTTTTGATGAATAAATGACAACTAAGTAATTACTACTTAAATGGGAATTTGTGAAGGGATATTAACACTGAAGCGAAATGGGATATCGGTAGGATCTTTCAGGCAGCATGACTGCATGTGCTTTTTTCTGGTTTTTATTTGTATGACGGGTTTGGACCGATCCAGGTCTGAACGGTCCACAATGTAATCATGGCTTTTATCAAGTTAGTGGTTTGGTAATCAGCTGGACTGAACAGGGGACCAGGTTGCCTGCTTTCGGGTAGACCCGTTCTGCCCAGTTCAGTTCTGATAATTTTACGTTTTGGTAATTAATATCCTAGAGATTATATGAAAATGTATTAATATTAAGGGTCAGAGTGTTTGGTGAAAAAGTATTTCTTGTTGTACAATGCTAAGGAAAAATGAAAAACAATTTTAATGCCCTTTTATTCTAGTCAATTCCTTTTAAGTATTTCCTTTTAAGTGAGCAAATTCGAGAATGTTGGTATGACGAAAGATTATGACTTTTTCACAAAAAAGAGAGTATCTATGTCCATCACATCACATGTATCATTAGTGATCACACCAAGACGCTAATTACAGAGCATGTTTAAGAATGTTGGTGTGATGAAGAGTTAATGATTTCGTCATCTTTAGGGGTGGACTGAACCGGGCCGGTTCGGGCCTCGGGCCTGGGCCCGGCCGGGCCTCGGTTCAGTATATATAGGCCCGAGCCCGAACCGGGGTTGGCCGGTTCCGGGCCGGTTCCGGGCCAGACCGGGCCGGTTCCGGGCCGGGCCACCCGCCCTATTAATTTTTTTTTTTTTGGCTTCTTTATTTAATCCCCTACCCCTCTTTCTCAACCCCAAACCACCCCAAACCATCTCAAATGGACCAAAATACCTAATCTAACCCAAAACATAAAAAATTTTCAAAAAAAAAAAAAAAAATTAATTCCGGCCCGGACCGGGCCCAAACCGGCCGGGCCGGTTCACCATATGGAAGGCCCGGGCCCGGAACCGGGAACCACCGGGCCGGTTCGACCCGAACCGCCGGTGGACCGGGCCACCGGGCCGGGCCGGTTGCTACAGTGGCCGGGCCGGGCCGGTTCCGGGTCGGGCCGCCCGGCCCGAGTCCAGGCCTAGTCATCTTTAAGAATGAGAGAATATCTACACTCTTCATCATGTAATTAAACTTGTAATATAATTAAACATTTAACAGGGCCGTAGATGAGGACGTGCAAAAAGTGCTACCGCACAAGGCCTCTCGATTCAGAAGGCCCAAAATTTTAAATATAGTCTACATAATATACAAAATCCTTTTTTATTTGATTAAAGATTCCTATTTTAGTATTTTGTTTTTAAATACAAACATTAAATACTACGGAGTAACATTTATATGTAATTAAAATGCAATTGTTAATTATAAATGTGCAACTTCTTTATTACATAAGGGCCTGGATAAGGCATAGTTACAGTAATTAGCACAAATTCCTCGTACATACAGTTTGGACGAGCTTGGTTTTAAGGGACGGAGGGAGTAGTTTTTTCAGTAATATCCTACTCTATATTTTTTAGTTCATGATTTAAATTCATTTCTTTTCGGTTTTAGTTTTTTTATTAATACGGATTTTGGCTGTTCAGGTTCTAAATATGATTATATCTCAATGCCATATTTGATTGTAGTCTTTTTTGGGTTATTTTTTAAATACTGCTTTTTATATTATATTTATTTAATATAAGGCCTATTTTATGTGATTTGCACCGGGTCTCCTAAACTATTGAGCCGGCCCTGCATTTAAACATATGTAGTCAAACTAAAATGTTTCATAACATAACTAAAAGGGAAAACTGTCAAATAAGTCCTCGAACTTTTATAAAAAAGTCAATTAAGTCCTTCTATAGGAGACTTTGTCCGGTCGTCGCGATTTGGGGCGGTTCCCAGTGGAATTTTTTGATGAAATTTTTTGAGCATCTTATTCATCAAGTCTAGTTTACTCATACCAAATTTCAGTTAAAAATTTAATCGGGAGCGCATTCAAATTAATCCGAGAACGCAAAAATGCGCAGTTATTTTCAAGAATTAATTTGAATGTGTTCCTGATTGAATTTTTAGCTGAAATTTGGTATGAGTAAACTAGACTTGGTGAATAAGATGCTCAAAAAAATTCATCAAAAAATTGCACCGGGAACTGCCCCAAATCGCGACGGCCGGACATAACCTCCTATAGAAGGACTTAATTGACATTTTTATGAAAGTTCGAGGACCTATTTGACAGTTATCCTTAACTAAAATGTAATCAAACTTTTAATATAAGTAAACATATTGCATCATGTAGAGTAATAAAGTGGATATAAACTTTCGGCGGAGCTGCATTTATTACTACGTAAAAGATAAGACATGTTTTGAAGTTAGGCTTACTAGAAAGCCAAAGTTGCCTTCCATAAGGAAGATGTGCATTCTTGACTTCAAGGGGACGTCAACTAAAGAATTACTAAATGATACTAGGACATCAAAATGGAAAACATAACTCCTACCATACCGTTCAATGTTATCTTTCTAAATTTGTAGTCCTGGCTGCCCTGAATCCATAGAACTTGACAAAAACTATGGACATCCACAATGGGAGAGCTAGAAATGGTGGGTTAGGAGGGGCGGACTTAAAGAATTTATATTATGAAGGCTCAAACTTAAAATTTTATTAAATTATTTACTGTCTATAATATGTATATACATTACAATTTTTTTTGGAAGGACGAGACCCCCTCCAACCCCCTAGACACCCAAAACAATGGGACGGGGCAAGACGGGGTTGTGAGTAACAACTAACAGGGGATGGGGAGAGGGTAGTTGAACTTTGTAAGACATGAACAAGGTCTTAATAGGGGCGGATCTACTCAAGTAATAGGAGGTCAGATAACCACCAACTAAACCATATAATATCTTAATAAATAGTGAAAATATTAGAATTTGCCCCAATAAAAATTTTGATTGCCCCCTATAAACAAGAATTTTCCCACCTAAATGAAGACGATAAAGAAATTAGCTATGTTATGCTTTTGGCGTTATTTGTTTGTTTAAGGCCATACACTATTTTTAACTTTTTAAAAAATATAAATATTAAATAATGTTATTGTACTGATTAAAATGTTATTCATTTGTTATAGGATTTTTTTATATCAATGAGATTTAATTTAATTGACAACTTACCGAAATAGTTATACATCTATTGTAGTATAAATGTACGTAGTATAATATTTTACACTACTAGAAAACATAAAATGTCATTTAGTAAGTTAAAAATCCTAAATGTAAATAATGTGTTATTTTAGATAATTAAATAAAATGAACTACTATCCGGTTGAGTCGGTCGATTCCTTTTCGTGAGTTTGATGCATCAAAGTTGATAAGATTGGTTGAGTTTTATCCAAGTAACTTTAGTTGTGTGGAAAGTTGAACTCTTTAGCATCAAGTCATCAACTAAGTATTTATATTTACAACTAGATTCTTTACCCGTGCGTTGCACGGGATGCTTATGTTATATGTTTAATCATGTCATTAGATGACAGTGAAAATCTAATGAATAGTTTAACTAAATTGGATTTACATATGTTAAAATTTTGGAATGAATTTTTCAGAGCACAAAGTTGGATAAAGTTGGGATCACTTCGTAATAATAAAAATACTTTTCATTAGCTATATAAATATTTTGTTACGTATTTGTGTTTATAAAATATACTACCTCCGTCCCACTAACATTGGGACATGAGGAGGTGACACGGTTATTAAGAAAAGTGAGTTTATGTGATTGATATTGAATTGATAAAGTAAGAATGATTTAGAGCCACACAAACTTTACCAAATTTGGTATGAGACAATCTCAGTGGGACTCTCTGAAAAGGAAAAATGGGACAATCTTAGCGGGACGGAGGGAGTAATAACAAAGGATTCATGCAATTGAGGATGCTAAAAATGTTACTGATC